TCACAGTAGTTCCACGGGAGGGAGCCCAATTACAATGTAATTTCATTTCTGGGCATACTTGATATAAAGAGCAATTTAGACCGAGCAGCAGGTTTTAAGATTGAACTTCCACTGCCAACGAGGAGACTCAACAGATTCCTGTAAAAAACATGTGATATTCCAACAGGAAGGAGCAAGTTCTTTGAATAAGAGAATAAAAAAGATCATACAACACTGTAACACCATGGAAACAGCAGCCTCTAGGGGGCGCTGGCAGCGCCGTAGACTTCAAGTCTCAAGCTAGACAGAAAAATGTTACCAAAACAATGTTGCTATCGCTTTATAAAGTCTTTATAATTGAAACTACAGGCTTCTTCAAATAGATTCAGAGGAACAAGTGAGCTGTATACTGCACCTCAGAGCTTCTTAATGAAAGAACTTTCACACGATACAGTTTAAGATCACGTCATATTTATCCACCGTTATATTCATACACTGCAGATAATCCCCAGGGTTGCTGCATAACACTGAATGATCAAATCCACTTTATTCCAATCATCAAAACATATTCTTTAGTCTTCAGTGTGCAGGAGACAGTCACCATCTGCTAAGGTTTTTTCTTTCCTTTTTTTAACAGTGACTCAGTCACATGTTCTGTGTGTATTAAAAAGGAAATATCTTCCCTCTGATTTTTGACATCTCTCATCATCTCTTGTGTGATGTCACAGTGAAATTATATAATATGTCCTGCAGTATATTCCTTTCACCTCTCTTGTCATTTAGGATCTGACAGTAGCTTTGGGCAATATTCAGTTTAATACCTGTTTTATGTCTCTGGATTTTTTTTTATCCCTTTCACTCCTTTCAACCCCCCCCAATACACACACACACACACACACACACACATGCACACACGCGCGCCTCCCCCTCCCCTGGCTCTTCTCTGTTCACAGAAACATGTTCAGTGACCCACTGCAGTCATTCTGTTCAGTCCTAAAAATTACTCTGCAGATGCGTGTTCCCGTCTCAGTAGTCAAACAGTCAGATGACTGACCACACTTCAGTTCTGGACTGTGAATTTGTGAATAGTGCAGTCTCTGGCAGAGATGGTTGACAGCAGAAGAGCTAGTGAATAAAGCTGCTCATTATAGTGCACTAAATATCCTGTTCTAAATACTGAAAACGTCCATTTAGTGTTGGGCTGTTGTCCCTTTATGTATAATGCACCTCTTATGAAGTGAAAATCCTTCTGACACATCTCTATACTAATATAAGTCCTTGTTATGGATGGAGTACCATATCAATAAGAGATAATGGGCTCTTACCATAACTCATCTCATCAGTGTATAATAGAGAAAGACTAAGTGCTGCCCCTCCTTTTTTTCCATTCAGTGGTAATATTAAGCTTTCATGATTTCTTTTTGAAAGATTTTCTTGAATCATGACATTGAAGGTTGCAGTTATTATCAGATGTTTTTTTTTAGCGTGACACAATATTCTGTAGGTTTTAAATTTCCCTCCATCAGTTGCTCACTACACCTCTGTTGTATCCCAGCCATTCCTTCCCCTGTCTCCAGCCTGTGTCTTTACTCAGAGGTTGATGACTCTCCTCACAGTTCCTTGGCCGTTACCTAAAGCAAGTGTTGAATATGCATGAGTTCAGCCTCATAAACTGCTGCTCTCAGCGCTAAAGTCAGTAGGAAGCCCAACTCAGCAGATGGGGGGAATCAGAAAGAAAACTTACTGAAAGAGAAAGAGAGGAGAAGAGGGAAGTTGTTTGACTTATCTTCAATAGTTGAAGATAAATTTCATCTCTTCATGTTGCCCTTGTAAAGGCAGCGACGGGAGGTGCTAGCTCGAGCTAGCATGCTAGTTCACGCGCTCATCTGCATTTGTTTTTTTTTTTTTTGTGTTGCTGTGCGCGTGCATGCAGCTGTTTGTGTACTTGAATATGGAAGTGCTTGAATGTGTGTATGGAAGTGCTTTTGTGAGTGTCTGTCCATATCATTTTGCCTGAAGCTCTGGACAGTTGCCAGGCAACTGTGGCAGGCAGCTCAGCACTGGCTGGGCAGCCACGGAGCAGACACTTCCACATGCCTATGGTTTTGATAAGAGGTCAGCGCTGATACATTACCAGGTCAGAGTCACATCAGGCTAAGAGCCGGTCATTGCTGGGATGATCCAAGGATAGTACAATTACACAGTAACATGCAAACTGTGTCCTGATTACTGGGAGTAATCCTTTTAAGGTAATTTCTGCTGCAACATTGATGTGATTTAAACTAACAAGATTTCTATGGAAACTAGGCTCAGAACCAAACCTCATAGCATTAATGTTACTTTCTTTTTTTTTTAATTTTTTGACAGCCAATAAGCTTCCCTTTTATCCTTAATGTGTTCATTAAATATGAGAAATGGTTAGAAAATTAAATATTTTACAAAATTTACTTAGCTAAAAGTATTGGCCAGGGGTGAGCCTATCCAAAATAATCTCAATAAGACACCTGGCACCTTACTGCACCCCCATGATGAGTCAAAGTAAATACAAATAGTAAATAAATACAATTAAATACAATGTAAACTAAATAATTAGAAGTTATATGAAAATCTAATATCATTATGATATAATACATTCAGCAAAGCATTTGGACACTCTCTGTTACATGAATCATGATTGATCCAGGTCACCCCACCAAAAAGACTTCAGGCTGTTAACAGTCGTTGAAGCACAGTGAAGAGTGCGGCATGAGACGTGTGTGTGTGTGTGTGTGTGTGTGTGTGTCACCCTGATGGTTGTAGAAAGGTCAATTTGGCAGGTTGTCATCATCGCCACTGCTGCTACCATCATCATCGCCACTGTCACATTCTAATCATTAACAATAAAACTTCATTTGCTTGGAAACGCGCTGACTGCTGTCGGCAACCATCTGTCTCTGTGTACCCCCTATACTGTACTTACGGGCCGTCCTTTAGAATACACTGCTTGATCCAGTCACTATTCCTATTTCTTTTTCTATTCCCACGCAAGGAAACAAACTGTGAACAACGATCACTTCATTCACCAAAAGCATTAATGTGTGTTTATGCCGTATTAGAAGATTATGCAGACGCACTGACCGTGACACCAGGACCTCGTGTATAGTTGTGTACACTGTATATTCTCAGTTTTGCTGTACATGTCCCTGCAAAGGAAAACATCTACTATTCATCAGCTCAGCTCATGTGTGTGACATGGTGAGCATGGTTGCATTGTGTCGAGCTGTGTGTCTGCGGTCCATGTTTTGAATTATTACTGAATATGAAAATATTCCGTTTCTGTTGCAGCGTAGAAAGCAGCTATCTGACAGGTCATTGGATGGGTTTGCTGGCGTGACATGAGCATTGTGTGGTAGCCGCTAAATCTGCACAAGAAAAGATGAAAATATTATCCAGCCATCTTGTCCACGGAAGGAACAAATTATGGCTGGAGATAACGAGACAGCTCCATCTTCCTTAAAGCTGCTACAGTCAATACTTTCATATTTCCAATGGAATACATGGGGACTTATATGTGACAGAGTTCACTTGTTGTGATGAACCCACAGAGAATTTTCCCTCAACTTTGCTCTTCCTGTCAGCTCTACAGAGCTTCACAGTCTCAATCATCAGCATCAGAAATGTGTTTACACTGAAAGAGCTCTGATAAACCCACTGTACGCCGCTGACGCCACCGTCCCCGCACCGAGCGGCAGACACACTGACTAGACGTGTGCGCAGAAGAAATGTAAGTGAAGTGTAAATACATGACATGTTTGTTAAATTCATCATGTAAACTTAACAGGTGATTTATGTCAATGTTGGTTACAGCTGTTGTTTTCCATGACATGAAAATCAGCTGTTGCCAGTGTAACTGAGACGAAGTGGAGTAATGGGTGAGATAGTTCAGGCCGGTGTGTCAGGTCTGTTTTAATTTGGCGAATACAAAGTACAGACTTTTACAAAAATAAGTACAGACTTATTTTAAGCCTAAAAAGTTATTCACCCCGCCCCTATGCTAATTCTAAAGTAAGAGCCACATTTCCATGGTAACACTCAGTGGCAACAAATGACAAAAACAAGAAAACATGGCTCATACTTTGTGGTTTGTTGTGCAGCAAACAGTGAGAAAGAAAAGAGTTTATAGAGAGCGCAGTGTCCAGCAGGAAGTATAGAGCCGCGAGACGTGTCCAAGGAAACTATCCTTGGTCAGCCATGCTTTTTAGTTTGAATAAAAACTCTTCTCTTTCCCAGAATTCACAGCAAATTAGTCCCACATAATATCGTCAAGAAGTAGACAGCTTTGTGCAACAGATAAATTTAGACATCTATCTGAAGTCTATTAGTTACATCTAAGCTATAGTCAAAGTGTGTCTTTGTGTGACTCTGGTACACAAAGACACATGTTCTTCATCACATCCTCCTCCCTGCAGCCACTGATCTGTGAGAGTGTAATTTACTGAAAACATTTTATATCTTTCCTGGGAATTAAAGTCATCCAGTCAACATTTAAACAGCTATGTGTGTTGCAGGTTGAAATAGTAATTTACTGTAATTCACTCTCATAAGAACAAAACATTCTTTGTGTGTGTGTGTGTTTGTGTGACATTTTGTTCAGTTTATTTTATCTTGTTGTGGGTGTGCACCTACTGTGTAAATGTGTGTCCTGGAAGTAGGTGAAACATGCCTTCTGTTGCTCTCCTCCTCTCTCTGCTGACAAGTTCTCTTAACTGTGTTGTATTTCTAGCGTGGGTATTAAAAATGAGTAATTTGGCAAGCTCTCTGTGTGAAATCTCCTCAGACTTGCAAAGAGTTGGAGGCTGAGAAGTTCCTGACAATGACAGGATGCCATCTTCTGTTTATGTGGGATACTTTTAAAAAGGCATTTAAAAGCACAGGATTGTTATTCCTGTGCCCCTGAATTTCTGCCCCGCTCCTCCATTCACACATGAATCTGTATTTCCTCTCTCTCTTCCTCTCTGTGTTTGTTCTAATTTACCCTGCAGGGTTTCTGAGCACAGGGGACCAGTCTGCTAAAGGGAACTATGGCTTGTTGGACCAGATCCAAGCCCTGCGCTGGCTCAATGAAAACATTGGCCACTTTGGAGGAGACCCAGAGAGAATCACCATCTTTGGCTCCGGAGCCGGTGCCGCCTGTGTGAACCTTCTCATCCTCTCCCACCACTCTGAGGGTGAGGTTCTGCCCCTGTCATTGTCACTTCACAAGTCATATACCCCGCTCAAAGGGAATTAACATGCTCTGTGTGTTTCTGCACGGAGCTTGTTCATAATTTCAATGAACAGCCTAAATCAGATAAAAGATGTGTGGTAATATTGAGGGATGGGATTCAATATTCAGAAATGAGTCATCTACTATATGAAAGAATGTAGTATTTTTTTCAGTAATCTGAAAGGAAACCAGATTGTCAATCTAGTGGACAGATGGGTGAAAACAGTAGGTTACTTGCCATAAAACCATCACTCACCTCGGGACACAAGCTCTGTAATAATCCCAAATAACGTCACCCCACATGGGACAAAGATCACTGACAGTTGCCCTTCTCCAATGAAACTAAGCCTGTCTGAACAGGCCCTGAGGAAAATACAGTGAGTCCTCTCAGTGAGGGCTGAGGTCGTGTTTTAAAATCATTCCATCCCTTTAATTGATGGACGGTTAAAAACGCCTCTTTTACTCAGTAATCTTGCAATTTGGCCCAAAAGCTAAATTACAGTCTTCAGTTCACGTCGGATGTTTCACTAATGTCACCAGCAGGCGCCACTGCTGTCAAATTAGTTCGTTTTTTGAAAACACTCACCATCACAAAACTAAGGAGTGAGCTGCCAGTGGTTCCCAACCACCATAGTATTACCTAATATTTTTTCCCCCTAAATCTTCCATCCAAAATAAAGGTTAAAATGAGAAATAAAGAATTACTTCACGACTGATTTAATATTCACAGTCACTCCAAATAAAGTGTTTCTGTGCAGATTTGTGGTAAATATTGAGCTTAAACTAAATAATGAATAATCAAATTAAATATGCTGGTTGGTTAGATTAATTCCTTTCATTCTGTTCAGATGTAAAAAAGAAGAACACCTGTGAAATCATCCACTGAGTCTGTGTCTCTTGTCCGTCTCTCCGTTGATGTTTCTGTATCTGTAGCTGATGAAGAGAGGGTTTAGTCTATTCGTCTGTTTGTCTGTTTGTCCATTGGCACCAGTTTGTAACTGCAGAGAAAGGATTCAGGTGTGAGACCACTAGTTTCCCCCAACCCACCAGTAGCTGTGAGCGCAGTGAGCCAACCACACAGCGTGAGTTTACATCTTTTAGTCACCGCTGTGACGCTGTGCATCTGCACGTACAGATGGAAAACATGTTGTGTTACTATGACAGCTGGCAACTGTGAGATGACCCAACAGCTGTGTCATACCAGCACATTTAACAGGTTTTTTTTTTTACAGTGATTTAGATGTTTATCCCTCCATTTCCATACATTGTAAAGCATAATGTGAAATGTACTTAATGTAAATGTCTCATCATTTTATTTTTAAGGAAATGTTATTTTAAAAGTACAGTAAAACAAATCCGGCAGTATCATTGGTCTGTCCTTGAGGCGTCACTGTGGGAACCAGAACAGTCGCCGATACTTCTGATTAAGGACTGTATTTACTGATTCGTTTGTTTTTGAGGAACAGAAATCTAAAATACGCAGCAGATGTTTGATCTCTAATCCTGTGATTCCTGCGCTCAGAAGGCGAATGGCACGTTATACTTTACCAAGAGCTCAGATTATGTTATTACTGAACTGTTAACCTTCACACTGACAGACTGACCTTGGACAGATGAAATAACATCTTCGATCTGCGCTGTATGAAGCAGATTCTCAGCGTGCTGAGGAAATGTGTCTTTTTGTCATGAATCATAAAATATTCAGGACGACATGTAACAGAATTTCAATAGTTGCTTTTCATTGAGTAGTGACCAGGTTGTAGGTGTTGGCTAGTTACCAGCTAATGTTGGCTAAATTACATGCTGTCCACAGACAAGGTCAAACACTCACACCTAAACCTTCCACATGAGCTCGTACATAAAACAGTACCACACAATAAACTATCACATTTATATTCAAATACATTACGTCAGCGCTGTGGTCCACACTGCTGTGCTGCTTTATATAGCATTACATTAAAAACACATTTTATATATTATATCAAAACATACTCGTTTGCTAATTAGTTGTGTTACTTCAAAGTTCCTTTAACAAGAATTTGGTGGGTTTGGTTTACAGCTGCACAATATGCGAAAAAAAAAATCATATTGCAATATGCAATTTTTAATTTCAGTTGCAACGGTCATTTTTGAATTTGATTTTCATGTGATTTTTGTTGGTCTTGTACCAAACAAACATGTTCCTTCATGTCTGGGGAATATGATTTGTAGGCGGAGACGTCTCTGTAGCACCACAACGCTAATGGTGCTAACGATGCACCACAATGTGACACATTTTATTCATCAAAAGAAGCAGCTCCTGGGATGAGGATATTGCACTTGGCCATATTGCGATTAATTGTGCAGCTCTGGTTTGCTTCAGTTTTTTTTTGGTTAATGTTATTCTGGTGAAAATCATGGTAAGTTTTTTCTCATGTTAAAAACTGAAAACTCAACATCCACATTATCATGACGGGTTGTTCTGCATAGATTTATGGCAAAAAATCCTCCTCTGCTCCATTTTGAAGGCAGGCTGTAACACCGCAAAGCGCAGAAAAAGTTGGAGGGTGAAGAGTTTTTAAAGGTACTGTGTGTGTGTGTGTGTGTGTGTGTGTGTGTGTGTGTGTGTGTGTGTGTGTGTGTGTGTGTGTGAGTGTGTGTGTGCGCGCTCAGAGGAGAGATGAGATGAGCAGTAGAGCTGGAGCTGCAGCTGAGAGGCTTCTTAATTGATTTCACAGGGAGAGGAGCGGGGGTGGGGCACATGCAGAATATGGGGGGGCTTAATTATTAATGACAGAATCTGCAGATAAAACAGAGGGACAGCAAGCCACTTTACATAACAGTGCAGCGGTGCAACAGTGCGAGCAGTTTTCTTTCTCTCTCTGTCGCTCTTTCTGTCTTTCTGACTGTTTCCACGGCGGCCGTCAGACCCGCTGCTCTGTGCTGAGTTGTCACCATTTTTCTTGCTGCTGTCTCTGTAATGGAAACACTTCATTTTCCTACGCTAATGTTCATAAAGATTTTCTCCAGCTATGAAAAGCAGCAGGATATCTGCTTCATCTTGCTTCGTATGTAATACTCCACAATTGCTCCTCCTCCAACATATGCATTATTGAAAGCACTCACATTGTAAAGCCTTGAAGGCCCCATCAGCTGCTAGCAAAAGTGTGTCAGAGGGAAGAAAGCAGAGCTCAACTGAGAGAGAACAAGTGACTGTATGTTTCCTGTTGAAGCTCTATCTGCTGTGTATCTGCTGCTTGTGCTCTGCGTAGGCCTGTTCCAGAGGGCCATCGCTCAGAGTGGCTCAGCCATCTCCAGCTGGTCGGTCAACTACCGACCGCTCATGTACACCAAGATCCTGGCGCGGAAGGTCGGTTGCACTCTGGGGGACATGGCTGAGTTGGTGGACTGCCTGCGGAGAAAGAGTTTCCGGGAGCTGGTGGACCAAGACATCCAGCCTGCGCGCTATCACATCGCCTTCGGACCGGTGGTGGACGGGGACGTGGTGCCGGACGACCCTGAGATCCTCATGCAGCAGGTCAGAGCTGCTTTCTCTGGGCGTCATCCAGTGAATAACTGCATTTTGTCTGTTAATCATTTCCATTCCTTTGTATGTGAATACAGTACTTTGTTAACAATTACTAATTAGAGCTAATCACTGTAGCATTCTGCTTCATCATGCTGTGTGTGTTTGCCATGACACCAGGGCGAGTTCCTCAACTACGACATACTGCTGGGGGTCAACCAGGGAGAGGGCCTGAAGTTTGTGGATGACAGTGAAGGAGAAGATGGAATATCAGCAGCTTCGTTTGACTACACCATCTCCAACTTTGTGGACAATCTGTATGGATACCCTGATGGTCAGATCTGATTTTACCTTTAAAGTTATTCACTCATTTAACGCTGAAATCTGTCATTTTCCACCTGTTGTTGGCCTCTGGCTCAGAGAAGTCATTAAAATCATGTTCACTCTTCAACAAGCGTGGCGGGGCATTTGAAGTCAGGATTGTGACGGAAGAGTCTCTATGAGTCCCTGCGACCTGCGAGGCGAGGGTCAGGGTAGCACAGCCCACTCTATACTGAACTTTTTATTTGGTAAAGAATGTCTGTAGGATTTTTTGTCTTTCTGCTACAATACAAGTGTTTCCTCTTCACCGTCTGATGCTTCTTCATCCAAAGAATCTGAACAAAAGAATTAAAGAATCTGAGGGAAGATTTTGTGATAATTGAGCTGTAATAAAGAAAAGCTTTGAAATTCTGATTAATTAAAAGTTTCATTTGCATAAATATTCATGAAGGCTGTGTATTCTGGAACAAGGTTGGCTTTCTCCAAGTCTTTGGTCTGTAGCAAACCAGAGACCTTCTCAACATTTTTCCACTGATTACAGTTAAACCGCTTTGTCAAAAATAAATAGAGGTGACTGAATAAAGAAATGTGGCAGGTTGATTAGTTCGCTTTGCTGCATTTTTCCCTTTGACACGGAGTAGGTTTATTTTTTAGGGACAGATGTCGTCACTGCTGTAAGTCGAGACATGCTAACAGGCTGATCTAGCCTGCTGGTCTCGTAGCAGTCCCCCGTGTCTCCTGCTGTGACATTGTTTCACCTCTGTGAACAGCTTTAGCGGAAGTGATGGATTGATCAAGTAACTTCTTTGATCATTTATTTGCTGTGATGAAGCCACACACTAAAGGGACAAAGGATAACATAGATTTTGCCATAAAGTTTACTGTGTTCCCAGTAAAATCTGTTTACGATGCTTCCTGTGCAGTGGCTCTGGTCTGATTTTATTGGCGCAGTCCAAACAGTGACGCTGACTGGCAGTACAGAGACAGGAAGTATAAAAACCATCTACCAACACACCACCATGAAGATAATGTTGCAGATAACCACACACTCCACAGGACATACTCACATCTCTTTTTTGTTTCTTCCCAGGTAAAGACATCCTGAGGGAAACCATAAAGTTCATGTACACAGACTGGGCTGACAGGGACAACAGTGACATGCGTAGGAAGACCCTCCTGGCTCTGTTTACGGACCACCAGTGGGTGGCCCCGGCCGTCGCCACTGCCAAGCTGCACGCCGAGTTCCAGTCGCCTGTCTACTTCTACACCTTCCACCACCACTGTCAGACCGAGGCCAGGCCAGACTGGGCAGACGCAGCACACGGAGATGAGATACCCTATGTGTTTGGGATTCCCATGGTGGGAGCCACCGACCTGTTCCCATGTAACTTCTCCAAGAACGACGTGATGCTCAGCGCTGTAGTCATGACCTACTGGACCAACTTCGCCAAGACTGGGTTAGTTAATACCAAATATATAAGTTACTTTCAGATGTGTGGATTTATCTTATTCAAAAATCTAGTGCGTTCAGGTGATTTTCCATTATCCCTTTAGCACTTTAGCACTTTATCACTTTAGCACTTTAGCACTTTAGCCCATGAGTGAAGTCGGACAGGGAACAAACAGTGAAACACAGAACCTGTTCCTTCTTCTAAACACCGCAGCTGATTTCTTTTCACCTCTGATACTGCATCAGCCCGTGTTTTGGTTTATTAGATTATTGTAGTAACATAGATTATGCTAATGCTAATGCTAAATTACTAATTTAGCAGCGATTCATCGTTGTTAACAGAAAAAACAAATGGTTTCTCTCCTCCAGGGATCCGAACCTACCAGTTCCTCAGGACACCACCTTCATCCACACCAAGCCCAACCGCTTTGAGGAGGTGATCTGGACCAAGTTCAGCTCCAAAGACAAGCAGTACCTGCACATCGGCCTGAAGCCTCGAGTCAGAGACAACTACCGGGCCAACAAGGTGGCCTTCTGGCTGGAGCTGGTGCCACACCTCCACAGCCTCCACGAGGAAATCATTAGCTCCTTCACAACTCGACTGCCGCCCGGAGGACCCAACCGCTGGAAGGGCCCCCACAACCCCGGTACCCGCTCCACACGACACCCTGTAATCTCCACCTATCCTCCTGATCCTGAGCCTGACGGTTCAGAGAGACCCCGCTACTCTCCCTTCCCCAGTGAGACGCGGGACTACTCCACCGAGCTGAGTGTGACGGTAGCCGTGGGCGCCTCGCTTCTCTTCCTGAATGTGCTGGCCTTTGCTGCGCTTTACTATAAACGGGATAAGCGCCACGAACTCATGCAGAGACGCCACCGCCGACTCTCCCCGCAACGAGGCACGACGATGGGCATGGGTGTAGGCATGGGAGTCGTAGGGGCCCCGCCGCACAATGACCTGGCGCTGAGCCAGGAGGAGGAGCTAATGTCACTGCAGATGAAGCAGCAAAGAGTGGAGCTGGAGCACGGCACACCCCTCCCGTCCCGCGGCGTCCATGGCGACCTGGAGCCTCTGCGGCCTCCCGTGTGCCCGCCTGACTACACATTGGCCCTGCGGCGAGCACCGGAGGACGTGCCACTGATGACAGCCAATACCATCACCATGATCCCCAGCACCATCAGCAGCATGCAGCCCCTCCACCCCTTCAACACTTATCCCCCCGTCCCGGCCCCCTCCACTACACCTGTCCCCAGCCACAGCAACAATGCCCTGCCACACCAACACTCCACCACCCGTGTATAGGACCAGGCACAACCTCTGCTACCCCACTCTGGGCTCACAGAGACACACCACACAAACTGCTCCATACAACCTTCACTCTCACCGCCCTCTATTCTTCTTTACTATATCTGTCTTTTCTCATTAAAGCCCTCAAATAAAGCTGCAGTTTGTAAGATTTTAAGCAGTGAAATACCTCTAAAACGTAATCATAAATCAAGGAGTTGATTAAAGAAGCTCCTTTGCCAAAAGCCTGTCATCGTGGCTTCATACTCTTCTGCCCCGTTAAAGCTCTCTCGATATCTGGTGCTTAGGTGAGCCGCCAAAAAATGCAGCTGTAAGCTTGTAGCTCTCTCTCACAGAGGTATCGAGCTAATCACAATCAGTCAGGCATCTTATGTGTAGCTTGGTTGTTTTGCGCATGTGTTGTGTCAGTGTAAAACTAAGTTTAACATAGAATACAAATATCCATTTTCGTTCATTTAGTGAAAAGATATTACAGTAGCGAGCAGCTTTGTGTGAGGCGACATATGCTCCAACAAGCTGTCTGTCATAAAGCGGTGATTTCTTGAAACTTACAAATTGCAGCTTTAAAGGCCCAATCTGGAAGTGACGTTTGGCACACTGTGTTGAACACTATGTCCCAACAGCTGTCTCCGCGTTCTGATTTTGGAGAATTTTGTTTAGAGTGAAATGTATTGACAGGGCCGGGAGAACAAGGATGAACACTATTTGACAGCTGAGCATGAGTTTTTCATTTATTTCAAAACCTAATTTCTTCTATTTACAAATGTATGTACCTGTTTTCAGTTATGATGCGGCCTAGACGCCATCAAAAGTTCTGCTTTTTAAAAATCTGTATACTCAGAACTGATGCTTTTGAAAGAATTTCCAGATTGGGGCTTCAACTGATGGGCGGTACAGGAAATAACTGAATCATACTCAGTCTGTGGGACGCAACCTGGAATCCAGGCTGCCCATTAGAACTCGCTGCATCTCCACCACACAGGCTCTAATCATGTCCATTACTTTATTTGTTTCTCACTCATTATCTCTCTGTCTGTATCCCCATCTCAGCTCATTTAACTGCTTCTCTCTTTTCGCTGCCTCACCCTCCCTCTCTCCCTCTCTCCCTCTCTCTCTCTGCATCCTCCCTTGTAGCTGTTTTTATTAAACCATTGACATAATCCATTTCCATCTCCACTTCTTTCCTCTTTCTCACAATCACTTCTAGACTCTTTTTTCCTTTTGGAGTCTTTTATACAAAAACACAAATGTAAATGATGTATTATTAATAAATTGTAAGGATATGAATGAAAAAAAAAAGATATTCTGATATCTCGTTTTTACCAGCATTCTTGGTGCCAAGTACTGTGATAAAATTCCTCTTTCACTGGCGTCCAGTGGACCGCCTGGAGAGGTCCATCCTGACTGTATCTTACAAAAAGGAATTACCATCATAAAAAGTGCCAACCCCCTTCATCTTTCTTTTTGATCCACACACTTTTTTTTGGTTTTTTAATTACACTCAATGTTGCACTGTGGCTGGTCTCTTCTTTAAAGGGAAATCAGATCAAATCAATATATCCTCGTTTAAAAAAGAAGAATATAAAGTTTTATTAACTACTTTGCTGTCTGGGATATTTGCATGATGTTTTTTTTTCTCCTAAAGTGTGGACAGAGAAGTTTGTTTGTCATTTTGATGATTTGTCTTGTTCTTCATGATTTTTTTTTTTTTTTTTTTTGAAAATCATTTTCATTTTCTATTTTAATATCAACTGCACTTTGTGGCACTTCAAAAGGTATTAAAGTATTAAGAGATGAATATTGTGTAAAACTATGATTATAACAAAAAGAGTAAATATTTCCTCTTTATTTTTTTCATTTCCTAACACTGAGGCTGTGCTGCAACTCTACCAGAAAGACTGATGAAAGCCTTTTTTCTTTCCCTCCCCCTTTTTTTGCTGTTTCTCTGTCAAGTTTGCACAGTCACTGTCTCTCAATCTCACCTGAAGATAGCACTTTTTTAAGTTACGAAAAAAAGAAACTTTACATGAATAGTCTAAATAAGGTTTTTGTCTGTGACTGACATAAACCACATGCTTCAAGTGTTTGAAGACTGCCTGACAGTTATCTTTTCGTCTGCTCTTTTGTTGTTTTATGATTCTCCCCTCTGCAAGGCGGGAGAAAGGATGAGATATATTTATGATGGTCAAAAGGTGAGAAAGCCTTGTATGCGCGTTTCACATCTTTCGCACAATTGAACAAAGAGACGGGTCACACTCTGGACAATTCTGAAAAAAAAAACCCTGGTGACATTAGGACAACACTGGACAAATGCCGACCGTGATTCAATGGTGACGACGAAATAGCTCGTCAGCTACAGTATGATCTGTCAATGCACACAGGATGCATTCTAAAAACCTGATTTAAAAAGAAAAAAATCTTTAATGACAGACATTACTCATACACCATATACCACAAAAGCAAGCGGGATTAATTCCCCCTCCTTGTAATGTTCTGTATCCTGTCTGCTTAGGATAACGACACTCTGGAGCCAGACTGCCATCCCTCACACTGGACTGGAGCGAGCTGCGAGGACAAAAGAACAAAAACCAACACATGAAACTAACTGTACATTTTTTAAGTGTAAGAGAACAAACTGGAATTTGTAAATATTATGTTTGTCGTTTGGTTTGAGTGATTGGCCGGATCTTTTCTTTGTGACAACAGGTGCAAGTTTAGATGACTTACATGATTTTAGCACCCATGCGTATGTTTGATTCTCCTTTATTTCCTAGATATTCAAGGGGCAAATTCCAATAGGTTGTGGGCACATGAATACATCTGTTATCATACATGAATAATAAAAAAAATTCAAAAAACCACAGCATGGTTGAGGTCAACATAAACACGAAAAGGAATGCTTACGGCTCAGGTTAGCCTAGATATTGTCGTGATTAAAAAAATGCTCTTACTGCATATGTGGCTGTCTAAAGCATACCGTACACACCTGGCACTATTCCATCAATCATGACGGAAGCTTTGGAGGGAAATGAGTCCTTTTATTGGTTAAAAAGGCAGAGAACAGCTTCAGAGAACAGTTGAAGGAAGAGGGAGTAGGGCTGATTCGAGGAATGAGGCAGAAAAACAAGACAGGGCAGATGTTGAAATGTGCTGCAAACAAACCATAAATCAAGAAATTTTAATTGTGATGATGTTGGATTTAATTGTTAGCGTCTCACATCGTCTTGACCATCGTCATGCAGTATAACCTGTGACTGGGAGGTTGTGAGATCCTTTGTACTCTTTTGGTCTTATTTCAGACTCTAATCATGGTGGTCGTTTTGCTGCCTTGTTTAACTCTTCTTTCTGCACATTCTGTTTATGGGAATATTGACCCAGCGATTTGAGCTATTATATGAGTTTGACTTGCCCTCACTTACAAAAGCAGTATTACAAATACAATTTTTTTTTTCTTTTTTGGAAATAAAGGTTTTGGACAGCCAACAGATAATGGAAGCACACTCACCAAGTTTACATGTTTACACTACAGTTTTGATGTTGGCTTAAAGAAAGGGACAGAAGAGGAAAAAAAGCATTACAAGAATCCAGATATCTTCTTATTACGACATTAAACGCTGGAATGGTAACGCGAAGGCTTGCACCTGTTTGTCTGTTTCATTTAGTCTGATTCAGTAACCTGCTTGAAGCTCAAGATACTGTGAGAGAGCATAAATGACCAGAAGGGGTTGAAAGAATTAAAGTTAATATTTCTATTTCAAATAGAGGCTATTACACACTGTATGTTGTGTATCTGAACTGGAAAACATTAAAAGACATTCTTAAACAAATGATTTTCTATTACTGTTCTTCAGTTTTGTCTGATATTGAAGTTGTAATATATATTTTGGCCACTTGGGGGCAGGAGAATAAGTAGATAGACTCTACAAGCCAGTTTAACTTTGTTTTGACTAACTCATTATCTGTTTGGCTGAGCAGGTACATACGTAGATGCACAGAGCAGAGCAACTTTAATTCTGAATCATGTGTCTAGCCACCTGTTGAGCGTAGGTCCAATATTAACGCACCTTTTAGCTCAGGTTTGGCCTCCACCATGTCCTGACGATACACTCAGCTGCTGTGTTCGACTCGTTTCACCAGCTAGCTAGCTAGCTAGCTTGGCTGCTACCTTTGTGGACTTGCAGTTTGGTAGCACACAGACAGGATAGCCGACTGTTTTTGTTACACTACCACCTGCTGCCGCTGGAAACAAGGTGTGTTGAGTGGGGTGTACATTACAAAAAGCTAACGGGGCTAGCTGCAAAATGATTGCCTGTGAGTATTAAAGGAGCTGTTTGTAAGTTTTGCTATTGCTACGTAGCTAACGTTAGCATTAGCAGTTGTTTACTCACCAGTCTTGAAAAAACGTTGGGAGTTCAGCATCAAACTTCTTCCTTTACTCACCAACAGCTGTCATCAGAGGTGGAAACAACCCTTCTTATTTAGCTTCTATTTCTATTACTTGCTTCTACTGGTTAGCATGCTAACCAGCTAGCTCTGGTCCAGTCTGATTGTCTTGTCACTCCTTTCGTCAGTCTTTCCCTGCCACTTTAGTATCCACTCTACCCTGAAGAAGCAGCAGACCTGAAGGAGTGTTAAACCTACTGTGGCTGAAGCTCATGCCAAGACTGGTAAGTAAACAGCTGTTAATGCTAACGCTGGCTAGGCCTGTGTACCAATAGCAAAACGTATAAATAGCTCATTTAAAATGTTGAAAATTAGTTTGAATGAAGTGATGATTGATGTTTTTTTGTTTTGTTTTAAGAAAGAAGCAACTGGCTAACACCAAGAACAAGACATAAAAAGTAAGGAAGGCTGATCCCCCACTGTAATATAGTCATGACCCCTGATTTAAATGTGTTTGTTTCTTTAGTGTGTCTGATACAACCAGGACCTCCCAAACTGTTTTATGTTTGTTTGTTTGTTTTCAGGCCGTTCCAGCATCTAGTATTCAAAATGTGTTTTCTCCCTTTCACTCTGTAAGAGCTTCAAGTTATTTAAAGGATTTTCATTTCAAAGCCTAAAATAACTTGGCAGCACCAGTCTTATTAGGGGAACCGTCCTCTGATCTGTGTTTATTCAGCTGTTGTACACAATAAATCAGTATTACAGCAAATATACTGGAGCAGGCCGATGCACAGAGGATGCAGTCATTCAGGCCCTGATGTGGAAATAACTAAATACTTTTGTCGGATTGAATTGTATGCAAAAGTTTTGGCATCCCCAGCAAATTACATATTCTGATGATTTCTGAGGTGAAAAGAGGTAAAAACAACTGATGAAGCAAATAGATACTGAAAATGATTCTTCAAATGTTAATGCACTGTTACTTTTTATTTCATAACTTTACACATAAAAAAACAGTAATTACAAAAGGTGCAAGAGTTTCAGCACCCTTCTACCTGTTAAACACTCACTCAGGACATTAACTCGTTAGGCCTTAATTGACTTGTTAGGAATTGTAAGGCAGGTCAAGACTTGTCATTTGGAAATGTCAGCTGATCTGATCTGATCCGAGCCTGATAAATTCTCTGACTCTTCAGAACTTGCGGTGACTCTCAACAATCTCTAAGCAACTGACAGGATCTGAAAATGAAACTAATTGATGCTTAAAAATCAGTGGAGCCTATAAAAAGATATCAAAGTGCTCCTAGCTTGAGGTTTCCACTGTCCGAAGCGTCATTAAGAATGACAGTTAAGGAGACCTGTGGAAGTCAAGACAAGATCTGGAACAAGAAAACTGTCAGATAACGCTGCACATGTGCTGGGAGAGAGGCAAAGCTGAGCCCCCATATGACTGGCGAGGAGCTGCAGGAAGGCTGAGCTGATACAGCAGTGGTGGATTATTGTTTCACTGTGCAGCCTTGATGCACAGGGTCTACATGGATGAGTCATCAGTAGGTGACCTCACCTGAAAGGTCTGAAGTCTGCAAAGTAACATCTGGATAAGCCAGAGTCGTTTTGGAAAGTGCTGTGGACAGATGAAGTTAACTGGTTAGCATCAGGTTCAGGTTCAGGTGAAATATATTTCAACAAGGAAACAGACTTCACTTCCCCCAGAATCTACTCCTGAGCGCTGGAATCGAACACCAAACCCACCCAAAGGTGTGGTGTGTTTGAAGAAAGATGGAGCAGCACTTGATGAAAAGAGCACCTCGCCAACTGTTAAGTGTGGGGGTGGAGATATTCTGCTCTGGATGGCAGCCAGTGGTACGGGGAATATTGCACAGATAGAGGGAAGAATGGATGCCATTAAATATCTGGATGCAGATGCCATGTAGTCAGAGAAATGAAACTGAGAGGAGGCTGGCTCCTAACAGGACTATGATACAAAGCAGACTTCAAAATCCACCGTGAAATACTTGCAGAAACACAAGCTTCAAACATTAACCAAATATGTGATTTGCCAGGAGGTTGCTAAACTTTTGAACACAACTGTATATTTATCAGTTTAAGAAAACATTTGCACCTTGTTTTAACTCTCCATAGTCACAGTTTACCCTCTGATCAATTGATCATTTCTTTTCCGATTACATCTGTGGTATTATATCACAGGTAGACTACAGATAATTATCTTGGCAAAACAACAAAGACCGATCATCTCCATAAGCAAACCCTGCTGTTGTGTTACAAGCATTGTTGAAAGTATTTTGGATTAATGTACAATAATTTCCCAAAGGAAAAACATCACTGTACAACATTTTAACACCTTTTTAAGTTTATTATTGCTTCATGTTTTGATATTTCTATAGTCTTTAATAATTCTGCATATTTGAAATACCAGATTCATACTTAAAATAACTGGCTTGAATTATTGCTGCAGTAAGAAGCAAGTCATTAGTCCCCAGACTAATAACTCTTATAGTCGATGTGCACTGTATTAATCATCATCTTTGTTATAACTTCAGCAGATTTATTGTGCTTCAGATGCACAATTGTTTTGATGACAGATGCACATTGTAATGTCATAGCATTTTTCCGCTGCACCCAACCCAATTACCTCTGCAGATAATAACACCCTGCTGGTTTCCCTGTAAGATGTCTTCACAGAAAATGCTTTTCTTTTTCTCACTAGATGGCAGTGTACAAATATAACGTATAGAGAAGGTCAGCCTGCCTCCAACTCAAATCAACCAGCTTCTGTTGAAAGAGGAGGAGACTCAGTCTTAATGGCCGTACTGACAGCCTATGGATTTCTCTTCAGCAACATGTGAAAAATCCAATGTGCTTTATGATAAGATATTCACAAAGGTAATTTTTCATTTTTCATTGGATACCCAAATATTATTCTCACTGTCTTTTAAATGATGACAATTTGATGGTAAGTTTGTAAGGGTTCTCAAAATGTTTTTAAAAACTTTTATATTAAAAATTTAAAGAACTCTACAACAAATTCTCTCTTTTTTTTGTTATATTCAAAAGACTTTTACTACTAGCAGATGAGCTAAATGATTAAAGCCACTAAAACCCATCAGAAAGCCATAAAAATTCAAATCCAATTTTTACAACTGGTCAAACATTCAAACACACATATGGCCGATAATTTGAAGGAAGTTATTTCTAAGCTTACCACAACTTATGTCTATAATATGTCCATGTAGAACATGTCACAAGCATGTAAAGTCAATAACTACAGGTGACCTCGGTTTTAGTAAAACAGGACGACGCCTTGTTTTTCTCTTTTTCTGTCTTTTTGTGTCACTTTGTTGTTACAATAATGAAACATTAGTGAAATTGTGTTCAACCCCAGCTCAGTATTTTCTATCTAACATACTTCACATATAATATAAGCAACAGAAACACAATGCAGGCCAGTAAATTGAGATATTTTATTAAATGAGCCGATTTGCATAACCTCCCACACATCTGTTCTTCTCCCAACAAAGTAGCTCTCCTGTAAAATAATTCATTTAGAGATATGATGAAAGAACACGTTAATCTAGAACTGAGGAAAGAACAGTTAATTTCCTTTAGTATTATCAAGAAGTTTTTATGAGAATAACTGAGCTACAGGGAAAATTTTAAATTACCACTACAGAAAATTCTGACAGTATCAGACTGAGCAAGAAAAGCAGAAATGTCTCCTGTTATCCATTAACTAATTTAAACCCCCACACACACACACACACACAGGGTATAACAGGCAGAGCTTTCAGATGGTGTGTTGCAGGTAAAGAGGAAGGGGTGAGGGAGAGATGCAGTTGTCATAAAAGAGCTGGAGGTTCTGGTCAACATCCATATTACTTTTCAGAAAGATCTCTAGTTCCTGGACCGGCATTTCATGAACGCTGTTGCCCTCTTTGGCGTTTTTGGCCAAGGCTGCGTGGGACGGGAAGCGGATGCGAACATCGTGGGGTGAGTTGCGGTCGTAGTCAGTGCAGCAGTAAGCAGACCACACATCTTCGGGGATGGCCACACGGTCCTGGTTGTTGCGACGGATCATGTTGCCTCTGGTGGTCACCCCGGTGACGATGTAGGCGGTGCCACGGCAGAAGTTGTTGAGACGGACCCGGATCCGCTCCTCATACTCACGCCAAGGCCCGATGTTGAACTCCCGTATCTCTGGGACCACATTGGTCAGGGTGTAGGTGGCAGCGCGGTCATGAGGGGTGGATTGGTGCTGGTCCGGGTTCAGGTGACCTCTCTCGTAGAGAACCACGTCAGAGTAGTCATCCAGGACGGCCTGGCTGTCCTCAAACTTCATGTGCAGGTAGCCGGTGGGGAAGGGCAGCATGTTTCCATTTCCATCGATTTCTGCCAGCTGGGGAGACACAGAGCAGCAGTTACAGCAGCTTTGATCTGCTGGGAAATAATACAAAGCTGGTATTGTCTGTTAGGCCTCTGGGTTTCCCCTTTCCCTGCCTCTCCTTGCTTCTAGATTAAACCTTTAACTATTTTAGCTGCTGCCGAGTCTTCTTCTGAAGACGTTTTAACTTCCCTGTGAACTACCTGGTTGAACTGGTTAAAATGAAAGAATGAACATATGAAAGAGCAGTAGCAATATGAATGTAGTTTCTGCCAGTTTTGAAAGACAAACTTGACCAGTTAAAAGACAAGTGTCTGACCTGTGGCTCATACATCCAGGGGTAGTCCACACGCCTGTCTCCCTCTGTTTTCTTGAAGGTGTAAGCTGAGTAAACTGGGATCCGCTTCTGGGGGTCATACAGGGTCACAAACCGAGGTTTGTCTGCGTAGCGTTGGCAGATCTTCTTCAGTCTGATGTCGCTGATCCCTCGTGGTGGTGTCCCCATATACAGGGAGTCCTTGCATCTCTCTACATGATTAAAATCTAGAACGACCGTCGCCGACATTAGAGGCAAAAAACAGACGATCAAAAGAGCAAAAAGTAATGGCGATGACATATTCATGGTCAAAACGTCTCCTCAGCGTGTCCTCCTGTGGCCTCTTCTACTAAACAATGACTGAAGATGTTTGCAGTTATGATTTAAATGTCACAGAGCAGATATGCAAAGCAAGCAGAGTGTGACCAAAAGACAGGCCTCCTAACACATGTGGGCGTGGACGTGCAGGTCACTGCATCACTCTAACCTACAATTTCTTTAAATTATTTCAAATACCTCGTCAGATTTGTGCCTGTGCACCCTTAATGAGGCTGAGGTTTGACCTTTGACCTTTGTGATAGTGGTGATATATCACACTGATGATGCAATCAAACAGTAAGGTGCTTGAACACTGACTCCTCTGGGACAAGTCACCATCCACATGATTGATTATTGGTTTAGATTTTGTTCTTCCTGAAACAACCTGGGTTCAGGGGAACTGGGGATCGAACCATCAACCCAGGGTTCAGTGGCCGGCCCGGTCTTGGTCCTCTCCTCTAGGACAGTTCTGTACTGCCTGTGAATGTTTTACCAGGCTATTATTCTAGATATCAACCTTAGTACCACAGGAAACTCTCTTAACAACTAGTCACTACAGTTGTGAAGCCTCCATTTGGCACAAAATGTAAAACCCCAAACTACCTGCCAAAATGAAACTTCTTCCTTGCCAGATATTTTTCCTCCTCTGACAGATGTGTAGTAGTTTTCTGCTTCTTCTTTTTTTAAATTTATAATTGAAATTCGCTCTCATTGAATTGTGCTGTGTGACAGACACAGGACATTGACATGGCATACAGTATGTGCTATTATCAATGTAATGGTAAAATGCAAAACTGTGTAATCTGTCTCAGTGATGAACAAAAGGGCTTCAGTGAGCAGGATGGTTCAGAGGTACTATGCTACTCACTGTGAGTGGTGGATAAGCCAATGGGCCAAAGAGAGATAAAGTATGAAAGTTAAACATAGTGACAGAGAGTCTACGTGCACCGGACATTTTCAGGTCAAGGTCTGTGCATAAACTCCTGCTTGTGTGTCTTAGTCTTACATCAACGACAGTAGTTAAACTTGAAATATGATAAAGTCTGCAGTTCCCAATTATCAGAGGCAGTGAGAGTTTTATAAGATTTTGTACAGATGGAGTTTATTTAGAGCAGAGTGTAGCTGGTGTTTTATTTAATGAGCAACGAGCTAATAAAGAACAATAATCGCACATAAATAAAGAAATTGTGAAGATAACGATGAACACGAAGGAGAATAAGAAAATAATCTAGTACAAGTACTAAACAGAAAATCCAGAAACTTCATTTGCAGTGAAGTATTTCAGAGCAAATCACTCTGTTCTGCCAAAATGCGTGCTTGACCTATTTTGGCAGCTCAGTGTGTACCGAGCAATTAATCCATGTGAAACCCTCTCCTATAGGTTCTTTGTCCAGAGTCCTTCATAACAGCTTTACACAAGTTCATTATTTGCATCTTTCGTTTTTTAAACACATGAACCACCAGCATTTTTGATGTCCTATGTGACCTTGATCTTACTCTGAAGAAGATTCATCATCTGAATCAGTGATTCCTAAACCGAGGTTTCTCACACCCCCGGGGGTGCGGGACTGCGGGACTGCCGTGGAGTAGCTCAAGTAATTTGAAGAAACAGAAATTATTATTTGGTTAAAAAAATGTATCCACGCACTGGGTCAGCTGCGATGAAGAGGTGAATGAAAACTAGTCAGGAAGCGAGCAGAGAAGAAACATTTAGGTGAAAGTAAATGGTTGAAATAGTTCATTGTTGAGATAACTCCAGCTGGTGTGGACGGCGGTCTGATTAAAAGATTGGGAACCACCGATCTAAATATCTGAAATGTAAAGGAAATAAAATGTGCTGCATAGGTGGCTGGAGTTTCTGTTGCTGCCCTGTGTCGCCCTCTGCTCAATTCAGTCTTATGCAAATGGAAAACTGTTTGTCAGATTAGCTGGAGCAACAATCCTTCACTGCCCTAATAAGTCAATTTGAGTGACTGAGTGTTGTTATTCATCGAGGGACCAGCTTGCCTCTCCGATCTAATCTTGAGTTATGGCAATCATAACTTATGTGGCTGGGGCTGATGATGCGGTTATGTGAACAGACATTTTTCAGCTGTCAGCATTTTTACCAATTAAAATTATAAATTCAGGCCGAGTGCAGAGCCAGCTGAGCTGCCCTCTGCTGCTCCAGCTCCAGTATGGGAGGCAGAGCTGCTGAGTTTCATGTCGATCAGTAGAGACGACTGGTCACCAGCGGCCACGCAACATGTTTCAGTGATTGTCAGTGTGAGTCATGGAGCAGGACTTTGGGGTTTGGTTCTATATGTGACTGTAAGATAATAGATCAAGTTAACTTATTTTAAATGTGACTGATTAATAATTCAGCTTAGAAACTTGAATATATTTGAAATAATGTTGATATTTACATCTCCTCCACCTCTGTATCTGTCCGTCTGTTTCTTGGGGTGGATCAGAGACACCTGTGTGATTTAGAGGGCGTCTCTCAGAGTCCTTCACAGGCTTAATTGTTATAAATCCCTCTTCTGTGTTTCTCACACTGGTGTGGAAATGTGATCAGTCAAAGTAAAATTCACAGAAAGACATGTGTGACTGAACTGGAACAAGTCCATTAGAAAAATATGAACGTGCCAGGCAGCTGAGAGGTTTAATGACAAATTAGATAAGTCATTAATCAGTAGATACTGTCTGGCTCCCAGTATCAAAACTGTATCTAATGATTTTGAAATATATAATAAACACAGTATGACAATTTAATATAGTACATAGAAAAATTTCACCTATTCCACAGTATTTTTGCACCCATTCTTCTCTACTTTTAAATTTGAATATGGTGACAGGTCTTCTTCATATTCTGCACATTCATAGACGTTAACATGTAATAACATGTATTGTCCACTTGGGGACAGTGTAGGCCTGGTTGTTGCTTGTTCCCATTTCCTGCTCCACAACCATAAATACATAAAGACACAATTATAACTCTTTTTTTTAAATACTGATGTTTGTTAGTGGTAAATACTGATTTTCGATAAGACTTAATTCTTGATGAGACACTGACAGACGGTTGTTAGACTGTACAGTACCAATGTCTGATATGTAAATTCACGTATATTTGAACATTCTGATGCAGATCTGTGTTTCTTAGTGTTCAATATGATCCATTTCATTACTTTGTATTTAGTCTCTGTTTCTTTTTTTTCTTCTTCTCCTGTGTCACTCAGTTCACCATGAGATATTCCATCAGAATATTAGTTACTAATTCTACCATCTTAAACAATCTTAACACGTTTCTTATTTATTTTTCAATTGTTGTGACATTAAATCAGAGGTTAATAATGTAACCTCTGCTAAAATCCACATTAGCGTGACCCTCTGAAGTTAAGAATATCACGTCTGTATCATGAGACATGTTTTTTTGCTCGGAGCTGTACAAACAGAGCAGATGCTCAGAAACTACAGGAGACCGTTTCTAGGCCTTCACTGAGCCACCAGGGGGCATCGTTTAGCAAATATTCTGGCTTGTGAAGCTTTCCCCACTTAGTTCTGCACCAAAGCCTGCTGATTGGTCCAAATACCCACATGGGTTCAAGCACTGACCAATAGGGTTTGAGCTGATCAGGGGCTGTTGCTAAGGCACTTCAGAGGCAAAAAAAAAAAAAATCTGTCAGCAGTCTGCTTCCACCATTTCCCTCTCACACTCCTCTGGCTCTTCATCAGCTCTCCCTCCGTCTCCTCCTCTGTCTAACTGCTCTCAGGGCCGACAGCTCTGCTGGCTGGTTGCTGGTTGGTGATGGGTGAAATGAGCAGAGGAGTGAGTGGTGGTTTTGCATTTTGAGCCACAAAGACTAGGCCCTCCCTCATGAACCAAGAGCTGTAGCCCCACCTCCCCCGGTTATCCTGTCACTTGACATTTGAGCTCAGCCAACACTTGCAGCCCGTCTGTCACCATTTCACTGTGCCTCACTCCCCAATTCACCCACAGAGACACCTGAGTGTTCAGCTCCAGCCTGGTCCACGGAAACAGGAGAAACTTAACCATGGTTCACACTGATTGTGTGATGTGTGTTGAGATTAATTAAGTCATTAAACATCCTCCTTTCTGAGGATTTCAAAAGAGTGAATGCAAAACTGTTGGCAGCATGACAATGTGCATGAGACGTGTCTGTATCTTTCTGCACACATAGGTGAATAAACCTGCAGTGACATGGTGGGAAAACATGTCTGTAACAGCTTGAAGAGATTCTTTTACAGCTGTGGAGAGATTTAAAATATCTCCTCTACTGTACTGGCCATGTTCCAACACTCACTTACTCACACACACACACACACACACATGCACACACATACTGTATATACACACACACACACACACACACACACACACACACACACACACACACACAGAGGAAGAGAAATAAAGAGCCCCTCCATGCCTCTCTGTCTGCTGTGTTTCCCCTCCTCCTGCCTCCTCTTGTTCACTGCAAAATGTTAGAGATACGAGATTCTGCCCTCTCATTGGTTCATGTCCTGTGAGCGGCAGCTCGCCGGCCCGCCCCCGTCGGTCTCTGCACATGGATCGGTCTGCTATGAGAGCCCCAGCATCAGAGAGTGGAGTGAGGAAACAGGAAGAGGAGGAGAGGGGAAGAAAGGAGACAGAGGAGAGGATCGGGTGAGACAAGGTGGCGAGGAGTGAAAGGGAGGAAAAGGGGAGCAGAGGGGCGTGTGGACCAAAGAGAACCAAGACAACAAAAGAGGTAAAGGAGAAGTACAGAGGAGCAACTTGATGTGCTTTTTGCTTATGGCTGAATGGAAATATACTGCATGCATTGAACAGTGTGAGAGGGTGAATGTGTGTGTTTCTCTTTTCTGTCCTGTGTTTGTTTACATGTGTTGATCTTTGTGTTTTCTGTGTGTCATTGTTCTGAATGATCTGAACATACTGCAGTGTGTCTGCAGACTGTGCTGCACATTCATGCATGAAGCTCACACACACACATACACACACACACACACACAAACAT